GAATGGGCACAAATGTGGATCTCTTCGAGTCAGGTTGTCCAGGTGGCTGTCTTCCAAATTTCTTGGCATAGACGAGTGAGCGCTTCCAGCATGGTATCCATTTGCTGAAACGTCTCAATTGGTATTTTGACAATTCCTTGAGACTTGTTTTCCACCAATGCCTTCAGTGCAGCTTGGACTTCTGAAAGGGTCTTTATGGAAATTTCACATTTATTGTTTATTACCAGCAGTACAGGCCTAGCTTTCTGGGTATTTTGGTATTGTTAATGCCTAGCTTACATAGTTCACTTTTGCATGCTCCTGTGATTTTGATTTATTCTCCTCCTATCCTCCCTCTTGCTTTCCCATGATTTTAAAGTTTAAGTTTAACCGAAGTTTCTCTGAGAGGTAGAACAAGTGCTCATCTTATAGCCAAAACCAGGATGGCTTCAGAAGGCCAACATGTCAACACCTCAAAGGGGGAGCTAACATTCTAGTGATTCTTCGGACCCTGACCCTGTCCCGATAAAATCCTCTGACTGGCCCCCAGTTACCACCATCACTTCCCACCATTACTAGCCCCTGCTTTTCCTCATATTTTCTCTTTCGTTATTCTTTCTCCCTCCTCCTATTCCAGTAAGATTAACTAAAGTTTGTCCTTGGAGGGTGGCAGAACAAATTGATAACCCTCAAGGACTAGGATTAACTCATCTGCTACGTGACAATCGTGACTACTGGTGCCAGATGACCTTCAAGGATTGCCAGTAAGAAGTTAGATCATCTGGGGCATGCAGAATGTGACCACCGGAAGAGAAACTATAATCCTGTCTGTATAAAAACTTTCAGACAGTCTCCAGTGGGGGAGACAGGTCTTCTGGGGGAGCTCATTCCCCTGTTTCCTGTGTATCAATATACAATAAAACACTCTTGCTGGTCACTTCACCCATCTCAGTACTGGCTTCTGCGGCAGGCGGCTCAGACCCGCCACTGCAGTAACACTATTTGTTCTTGATTATATGCTACCTCCTGAAATGGCTGCACATCGATCAACTCTTTTTGGTACAGTGACTCTGTGTATTCCTTACATCTTCTTTAAATGCTTCCTGTGTTGTTCAATATTTTGCCCATAGAATCCTAAGATACTGCATCTCCAGGCTTGAATTTTTTTTCTGTTCTTTCAGCTTGAGAAATGCCAAGCGTGTTCTTCCCTTTTGGTTTAACTCCAGGTTTTTGCACATTTGATTATATTACTTTGTCTTCTCAAGCCACACTTTGAAATTTTCTGTTCAGCTCTTTTACGTCATCATTTCTTCCTTTTGCTTTAGCTACTCGATGCTCAAGAGCAAGTTTCAGAGTCTCTTCTGACATTCATTTTGGTCTTTTCTTTCTTTCCTGTGTTTTTAATGGCCTTTTGCTTTCTTCATGTATGATGCCTTTGATGTCATCCTGACACTCATCTGGTCTTTGATCATTAGTGTTCATTATATCGAATGTATTCCTGAGATGATCTCTAAATTCAAGTGGGATATACTCAAGGTTGCACTTTGACTCTCATGGACTTGTTTTAATTTTCTTCCGCTTCAAACTTAAGTTGCACAGGAGCAACTGATGGTCTGTTCCACAGGTGCCCCCTGGCCTTGTTCTGACTGATAATACTGAGCTTCTCCATTGTCTCTTTCTACAGATGTAGTCAATTTGATTCCTGTGTATTCCATCTGGTGAGGTCACATGTATAGCCGCCATTTATGTTGTTGAAAACAGGTATTTGCAATGAAGAAGTCGTTGGTCTTGCAAAATTCTATCATCCAATCTCCAGCAACATCTCTATCACCAAGGCCATATTTTCCAACTACGAATCCTTCTTCGTTTCCAACTTTCCAATTCCAATCATTAATCATTACTGATGCGATCTTGACTGCATGTTTGATCAATTTCAGATTGCAGAAGTTGGTGAAAATCTTCAATCTCCTCATCTTTGGCATTAATGGTTGGTGTGTAAATTTGAATAATACTTGTATTAACTGGTCTTCCTTGCAGGCGTATGGATATTATTCTATCACTGACAGCACTGTACTTCAGAATAGATCTTGAAATGTTTTTTGAAGAATGTGACACAGTTCCTCTTCAATCTGCCATTCACAACATAGCAGACCATATGACTGTCTGATTTAAAATGGCCAAAACCAGTCCACTTCAGCATACTAATGCCTAGGATATCTATCTTCAATTCAAGCATTCCTTTCCATTTCTGACAACTTACAATTTTCCTAGATTCAAACTTTGTACATTCCACTTTCCCATTATTAATGGATGTTTGCAGCTGTTTCTTCTCATTTTGAGTCATGCCACATCATCAAATGAAGGTCCTGAAAGCTTAACTCCATCCACGTCATTAAGGTCAACTCCACTTTGAGGAGGTAGCTCCTCCCCAGTCGTATTCCTAGTGCCTTCCAACCTAAGCGGCTCATCTTCCACCACTATCTCAGACAATGTTCTGCTGCTATTCATAAGGTTTTCACTAGGCAATTTTTTTAGAAGTAGATCGCCATGTCCTTCTTTCCTGTCTGTCTGAGCCTGGAAGCTCAGCTGAAACCTGTCCATCAAGGGTGACCCTGCTGGTATCTGAACACCGGTGACATAGCTTCCAGCATCACAGCAACAAGCAAGCCACCACAGTATGACAAACTGACAGACGAGTATACAGCTCAATTAATTTTACGTGTATCTCTATCCAGACTAAAATATAAATATGAAATATTTCTGTCATCCCAGAAGGTTCCCTCACGCCTCTTCCCAATCAATAACACCTGTCCCAACCTCCACCCTTAGGTAACCACTATCCTTTTATTTCCCTAGTTAAGTTTTGCCTGTTCTTGAACTTCACATCTATGAAATTCCACAGTACATACTCTTCCGTGTCTGCTTATTTTGCCCACCATAATGTCTGTGAGATTTAATTTGCTGCTGTGTATGTTCATTTATTGCTACCTAATATTCTATTGTACAACTACGTTGTTTTTCTTGCGTGCCATCAAAATATACAGCTATACCATGATTTATTTATCCATTCTCCTGTTGATGGACATTCGGGTATTTTTTAGGTTTAAAATATTATATAACACTAGCTGCTATAAACTTTCTTGCACATGTCTTTTAGTGGACTCACTTCCTTTGGGTAGATACCTGAAAAGGGAAGGCCATAGAGCAGACATATGTTTAGCTGAAGTAAATATTGCTAAGTAGGTTATTAAAACGGTATTGTCAATCTTTACAATTTAGCCATGCCAGTGGGTGTGAATGGTATCTCATTGTAGTTTTACTTTGCATTACTCTGGGTGGCACAATGGTTAAGCTTTAAATTTCTAGCTGAAAAGTTGGCTGTTTGAACTCACCCAGACGTGCCTCAGGAGACAGGCCTGGCAATTTGCTTCTGAAAGCTCACAGATCTGAAAATCCTATGGAGCAGTTCTACTTTGTACACACAGGCTCGCTATAAGTTGGAATAAATTCAATGGCAACTAACAACAACACAAGTGAATAACGATGTTGAATACCTTTTCGTATATATGCTTGTTGGTCACTTGGATATCCTGTTTTGTTGAGGTCCCTCTTCAAGTTTTTTGTCCATTTTTAAAATTACTTATCTTCTCGTAGATGTGTATAAGTTCTTTACATATTCTAGATATGAATCTTGTATCCAATATATGTACTTAAAGGTCTTTTCTCAGAATTCAGCTTGCCTATCCGCTTTCTTAATGATGTCTTTTGATAAACAGAATTTAATTTTAACAGAAGTCAGTTGGTCAATTTTTCTTTAACAATTAATGCTTTTTTTGTGTCCTTTTAAAGAAATCTCTCTCACCACAAGATAATGAAGATATTCCTTTGTGTTTTCTTCTAGGTGCTTAATTGCTTTAGCTTTCATCCAGCCTTTCTTCCCATCAATATTCTGACCTTCTCTTCCGATTCTGCCGAATTTGTCATATTTGAGGTTGTGCCATTTGACAACACAAATTGAATTTATTAAATCATTTTTATTATACATGTTATTCTTTAAAAATCAAATAAACTCCTGACAATAACTAATAAATTATGATGATGAGAAAGTATCTCCTTTGGGAATATGCTATAATGACTCCTTACAGAACTGTCTGAGTTATCACTTCAGTTTCCAGTAACACAGCCCCAGCTTTAAATGAACTATTCAGATACTTTCTCTCACTCATATTAAAAGACATTTTAACATACTACAGTTTGATATTTCTGAAAAACATACTGCTGAAATTATAAATGTTTAGAATAAAATTGGACATACATATTGAGGAGATACCAAATGAACTCATTTCCCAGTGTTAAACTGACCTGAGCTCAGTAGCATTAGCTATTTGATAGAAATGAAGACAGAACTTTCCCACATTTCCTAAGTATGAATCAAGCTTTGACTTTGTCTTTCTGCAATCTTAGGATAAGTCTAAATAATATCTCTCTTGTCAGTGTAGCTCACCTCAAGAAAAGGATGAAGAAAAGAACCAAGTGCTTTAAACATTTATTCAATAAATTTGAAAACAAGTGATGCTCATAAACATAGAGGACAGCCTGAACCTTTTTAAATGAATATATAAAATACACTACTATCCTAAAACCCCCATGTATGGAGTGATACTATAAGATATTTGAGTCACCTGGCTAAGTGACAGGCTGTCTTTCATGAACCTACTGAAAATGAAACTTATAGCCACCAGTAATGAATGCACCCTACCCATTCCAGAATAAAATTCATTCTATTAAGTCAGTTTTCTCAAGTACTTCATTAAAACTGAACAATGATTATTACTACACACTTATAAAGCCAATTAAATATTTTGGATTGCCTTTATATTACTACTCAAAATTTCCAATTTTTCAAATCTAATAGGCTATATATTATTGCACCAAGTGTAAATAAAATTCATGCAACCGACTCACAGACTGTATAGCGCACTATTTAAAAAATGTTACCAGTGAAGCAAATCTAGACTTACCTATAGTAATGGCTCGATGGAATTGATGCATGTCTTCTCCTGATAGCTCTTGGGCTACCTGCAATATCTTTTGTCTGACACCATCCAACTTAATTTCGGATTCAGTCAATATTTCTTCCATATCAGGAGCACTACAATTAAGATATTAGGAGTTTTCAGAATAGATGCTGTGATAGTTATAAAATTGAAATAACCAAAATATAAATAAACACTGAACTAAATAAATACTGCATGTATTTGCATACTCAAAACTAAAATTATATTTATCAAGAGCATGTAAAAACATGGAAAATACTGTAACATGGTATTAAGTAAAAAAAAGACGTACGTAAAATTTTAAGTATAACATGATCACAACTATAGAAAAAATATGTGCATCAAAGATGACATCTGGAGACTTCTGCTTTCAGTCAGGATGGAGTAACATGGCCTGGATTTATCTTCCTGCCTTAAACAATTACAAAGAAAAAAGGGCTGTTAAAAAAAAAAAAAAGATTGTTTTCATCAATGGTTCTTTGAAAAGATCAATAAATGTTGACAAACCTTTAGCTAGAATGACAAACAAAAGATGCAAATAGCCAAAATAAAAAATGAAAGAGAGAACATGACAACTGACCCAATAGAAATAAAGAGAATTATGACAGAATATTATAAACAACTGTACAGCAACAAATCAGATAACCTAGATGAAATGCGCAAATTCTTAGAAGCATAAACCTATCCAAAAAGACTCTAGAGAAAATAGAAAGTTTCAACAGGCCCAGAACAAGTGAAGAGATCACATTAGTGACCAAAAACTTCCCAACAAAAAAATCTTGGAACAGGTGGCTTTACCGGGGAATTCTACCAAACACTTAGAGTACAATATATGCCAATACTATTTAAACTCTTCCAAACGACAGAGAAGGAAGGAATATTTCCTAATTCCTTCTATGAAGAAACATAACCCTGATACCAAAACAAGAAAAAGAAACCACAAGAAAAGAAAACTACAGGCCAATATCTCTTATGAACATAGATGCAAAAATCCTCAACAAAATACTAGTGAACAGAATCCAAGAGTATATTAAGGGTCATACACCATGACCACGTGACATTTATTCCGGTAATGCAGGGATGGTTCAACATTACAAAATCAATCAATGTAAAACACCACATCAACAGAACAAAGGAAAAGAACCACATGAACATCTCTATAGATACAGAAAAAGCATCTTATAAAATCAAACACCCTTTCTTGATGAAAACCCTAAAGAAGATTGGAATCAAAGGGAAATTTCTCAATATGATAGAGGGCATATAAGAGCCAAAAGCCAACATTATACTTCATAAAGAAAGACTGAGAGCTTCCCCCTTGAAATCAGGAACAAGAAAAGGGAGCCGACACTCAGCACTTTTATTCAATATTGTATTAGAAGTCCTAGCCAACAGCAATAAGACAAGAAAAAGAAAGAAAAGATATCCAGATTGGAAAAGAAGAAGTAAAATTATCTCTATTCATGAATGACATGATCCTATATGTAGAAAATCCCAAAGAGCCTGCAAAAAAACTTCTAGAGCTAACAGAGGAATTTAGCAAAGTTGCAGGGTACAAGGTCAACAAACAAAAATTAGTTGGGTTTCTATACACCAGCAAGAAATCTGGAAGGGAAATTAGGGTAACAATTCCAATTACAATAGCATCTAAGAAAACAAAATACCTAGGAATAAATCCAATCAGAGACGTGAAGGTTTTATACAATGAAAATTATAAAACACTCCTGAAAGAGATTAAAGAAGACTTAAATAAATGGAAAAACGTCTGTGTTCTTGTGTTAGAAAATGTCTAATATTGTTAAGATGTCAATACTACCCAAAGTGATCTACAGATTCAACGCAATCCCTATCAAAATTCCAACAGTCTTCTTTACAGAAAATAGAAAAAACAATCCTCAACTTTATGTGGAATGGCAAGAGGACCCAAACAGGCTAAAGCAATGCTGAAAAAGAACAAAGTAGGACTCACATTTCCTGATTCTAAAACATATTACACAGCTACACTAACAAAAACAGCCTACTACTGGTATAACAACATACACATAAACCAATGGAATAGAACTGAGTCCTGAAATAAATTCACACATCTATGGTCAATGGATTTTCGACAAGAGTGCTAACTCCATTCGATGGGGGAAGAGACTCTTCAATAAATGGTACTGTGAAAACTGAATTTCCACATACAGAGAAATGAAACAGGATCCATGCCTCACACCATACACAAAAACAAATACAAAATAGATTAAGGACCTAAATGTGCACACTAAAACCATAAAACTCTTAGAAGAAAATGCAGGGACAACACCGTTGGGCCTTGGTTTTAACAATAGATTACCTAATAAAACAACAAAAGCACAAACACAAAAGACAAAATAAATAAATGGGACCTCATAAAAATGAAAAACTTTTATTCATTAAAAGACCTTACCAAAAAAGTGAAAAAACAAACTACCGACTGGGAGAGTATCTTTGGAAACCATATATCTGACAAGAACCTAATAACCAGAAAATATATAAATCTCTGAAAACTTAACAAGAAAAAGACAAATAACCCAATCATAAAATGGGCAAAGGACTTGAACAGACATAAAGAGGAGAAAGTAGAACAAACAGAAAGAGCTCCAGAGATCTGCAGAAGGTCTCTCCCACTCAAGTCTTCAGCTGAGTGTTAATCAGTGCAGTCATGTAAGAAGATAACCCCAAGATGGAAAAAGAACTGCCCAAAGTTAGCAGGCAGAGCAATGCCCATAACTCACAAAAGCCAAAAAAAAAAAAAAAAAAACCCCAAACCCACTGTCTCAGTTATCTAGTGCTGCTATAACAGAAATACCACAAGTGGATGGTTTTAATGAAGAGAAGTTTATTTCCTCACAGTCAACGTAGGCTAAAAGTCCAAATTCAGGGCATCAGCTCCAGGGGAAGGCTTTTTCTCTCTGTTGGCCTTCTTCTCTTCGGTGTTCCCCTGGACTAGGAGCTTCTCTGCACAGGGACCCCAGTCCAAAGGACACACTCTGCTCCCAGTGCTGCTTTCTTGATGGTATGAGGTCCCCCACTCTCGGCTTGCTTCCCTTTCATCTCTTGAGAGACAAAAGGTGGTGCAGGCCACACTCCAGGGAAACTCCCTTTACATTACTGGATCAGGGATGTGACCTCGGTAGAGGTGGTGTTACAATCTCACCCTAACCCTCTGTAACATAAAATTACAATCACAAAATGGAGACCTTCCACACAATTCTGGGAATCCTGGCCCAGCCAAACTGATACACACATTTTTTGGCGGACATAATTCAAACCATGACACCCACTGCCATCTACTCGATTCCGACTCATAGCAACCCTATAGGACAGAGTAAAACTACCCATACGGTTTTCAAGGCTGTATATCTTTACAGAAGCAGACGTTCACATCTTTCTCCTGCGTTGCAGTAGTGAGTTCGAACCACCAACCTCTTGGTTGGCAGCCGAGTGCTTTAACCACTGCATCACCAGGGCTCTTTGATCCACAGCTCACACAGAACAAGAAATAGCTGACTCGCCACCAGCAGACTGACACTATAAAAAGTATTAAAGGAAGTTCTTTAAGCAAAAGGAAAATGATACCAGATGGAAATCTGGATCTACAGAAAGAAATGAATAACACCGGAAATAGTATGTGGCTACTATGAATTTTTTTTCTTATGTTTTAAACCATACTGTTTAAAATAAAAAATAATAATTTATTGTGGAGTTTATAACAAATGTAGTAGTATACTTACTATGTGCTACTATTACAACAGGAGCTAAAAGGCCACAACAATAAAGGAGAAATGGAAAAGAAACTGTACTATTATAAGGTTCTTATACTATACACAAAGTGATACGCAAGAAGCCCTTACTTTGCAAAGTACTGTGTTAAGCGAAACTTGTATATATTGAAACTGTGACCTTGATTTGTGAACTGTTACCACAGAACCATGCAAAGCAAAGACATGGTTCTGATATGCAGGAGTTTCATTAACATAGTACTGTGCAAAGTGAAGACCACCTGTAATATTAATCAATGGTCAACTGTGGTAAGATATATACTTAAACTGTAAAACAACCACTACAAAAATAAAAAAGGTATAGCTAATAAAAAATAAAAAGGGAATCATAAAAAATACTCAATCCAAAATAGACGAAAACAGATGGCAGAGTTAAGCCAACCACATCAGTAATCACACTAAATGTAAATAATCTAAACATTCCCATTAAAAGGCAGATTGTCAGATGGGATACAAACACAAGACAGACAAGAAATCCACTTTCAAGCTAGACACAAATAGATCTAAAGGATGGAAAAAGATACACCCTATGTGTTGCGTGGGATCAGCTTACTGAAAAAAAGCAATTTGGCCTTTTGGTTCTTGTTCCAAAGCCCAGCCAGGTAACCAATCTTTACCAGGATTAACTGGGGAGACCCCTGCCTAGTCTGACCTTTACTGGGATTGGCTAGAGGGGCCCGTCCAGTAACTGATAAAAATCCTAGAACACAGAGGCTCAGATGGGGCTTCCTGATGCTCGAGACTGAGGAGAGGAAACAGCCTTTGTACATGGGGGCCTTGCACTATGACCCTCCCAGACTGACTAAACCTGCGATGGTGACGGAGGCGGCAGCTGCAATGGTTTCAGAAGCAGAGACGAGGCAGGGCCAAGATGACAGAGTAGTCAGACACTTCCGGTGGTCCCTCTTACAACAAAGACCCAAAAAAACAAGTGAATACATTATATATGACAACCTAGGAGCCCCAAACATCAAACACAAAGTTGAGGAATCGGACTCAGTGGCAGGGGTTGGGAGAGACGGTTCAGAAGCAGCGAGGAGTTGTCAGACCTGACCCGGTGGGAGCCTGAGCACTTCAGGCCGGATGAGCTCGTGGTGCATGGTGATGCAAGCAGCGACACTCAGGAGGCATTTTCCACACTGGGAGAGACCAAGCGGCAGAGTCTACTCGGCCGTCCAGAACCAATGAGAAGTGGCCCTCAATCAGTGAAAGGTATGGCCTACCATGTGGATCAAAAACACCCCCCTTTGGGGACAGTGGGTTGAAGATAATGGTGATGGAATAATTTGGAA